CTTGAAGCCATGTTTGTTTTTTTCACAAAATGTACCTATTAAAAGAAGTGTTGCTGTACCTTATTCGATACTCAAAAATCATTATTTTGATATTCCAAAATGCTATTAAAGCATTGGAAGAAACACATAAAACAGGCCAGAAAAAAATTATTCCAAATATGATCCTAAAGCACAATCTCTCTTGAGTAGAATCTGTAAGAATTTTTGTGTTTTGCAAATGGCTTTACACTAAGACTTTTTTAAATGTCAGCAAAAGAGATGCTATCTTCCATACCACTCAAAATTGAAAGGCTATTTCTACATTTTGTAGCAAATTTCATAGACGGCTCCAATCTGCCATAGCTAGATTTCTCAGCTGCAATTTCGCAGAGTAAGACAAGTCAATTTAATAACCTGCTCCTTAGTGCCAAAATTTTGTTACTCTCCCATTTCTCTCTGTTCAGTCCCAATTACGCACTCCTTCCAGTTTCTTTGCATCATTCTGACTAACATCAGAGGTAACACCAGACAATTTAGTTCACTGATCTGGCAAAAAGGTAACCTGGCAAAGTATTTTCCAGGTTAGTGCATTGGATTGCTCACAGAAATATTTGATAAGCACCAGAATCAGCAAAGAAAGTGTCAGGAGTGTGCAGCTAAATGAAAGGCGGGTGCAGAGCAACACTTCCACTTTCATGTGTTAGTGAGTCAGAATAATTTGTTTGCTCAGGTATAAAATGGCCACTATGTTGTCTGATAATATTGGAATACAGTAAGCTATTATGCCTACTAGAAAAGCCTTGCACGTGTTGTGGGTGGCTTACATTTTCACTCAAGCAACAAACAGTGAAAATGAAGATTTGCATGCCCCATAACCTGCATCCATGACAATATGGAGCCCATTAGTCTAAAGAATATGTATTAATGACAAAAACATACAATACTATAACATGTACAAAAACATATTACTAATTTAAGCCTGTTTGATGGTGTACAAGCTTGCAGTGGTGTGGAAGCTGTTCTGGACCCAGTAGGCTGGTTACTTTGCACTGGATTTAAGATAAACTTTCACTTAACAATAAGAGAAGATAATAGCTATAGGAGTCGATTTCAGAATGTCTTACTGCAGTTGACCACTAAATAATCAGCAGCTCAATACCAAAATATGTAGATGGTGTATTCTCTATGTTTGAAATAAGTGGCTGTACTGGCTAAGCCCATCTTTGATGCAATGCAAGAATTCCAAGGGAAAGGACTTGGTGATTCCAGAAAGTACCCATAATGAAATTTAACAAGCATTTGTCAGCTGAATAAATGATAATATAGAAATACGCATCCTGAAATCTGAGCACAACATGACTCTTCTTCAGATCTTTTACTGGAATATCATTGTTAACAATGCTTATTTTAATCTATTTATTCAGACTGAGACTGTGACAAACACTAAGGCTTCTCTTCTTCCTCTGAAATGGAGACTTCAGTCTGACTAACTATCTTAATTTCTCACCTCCTTTTATGGTGATACAGAAGCTCCTCTAATAGTAACCACAGACTGCATGCTTTGTTTTACTGTGTATAGCATCAGAAGACTCTCCAGACTGGGACTAGAGAAGAAGGGTATGGAGACAATAAGAAAAGGAATTCAATTTCATAGCCCCTCTTCAACTGAATGTATGTTGCTGAAGCAAGGATATTCCAGGTAGAGTGGTATCAAGCAATGATTTGAGCAATGATCAAAGATATGGGAACTGAGAAAAGGTGTCAAACAGGAGAAAAGACCTCAGAGGGGAAATAAATGCTGTGTTTAGGACAAAGGAAAATAACAACCAGATGCCACAGCAACTGTTTCAGGACTGGGGTTTTGGCCCTTTATTTGCAGATTTTGTTAGCTTGTGTTGGTAATAGGAAGATACTTCTTCACTGATGATTTAGAGGGCACTCTCATTCTGTGGGCTAGAGCACAGCTGTCCCTATGAGGATCCAGTACCCAGCAGCTACGACTGTAGGTAAAACGTTCCCTAGTGTTTGAAGTTCCTTGAGAATCCCACAGAGACTGCTAGGATCAGCAGAGCATAGCAACAGCAATTCCCAGTGCTACAGAAGCTAGAGCAGTTGCGTCTAAGCACCCTGAAAAGAAATCTAGGAAAAGACAAATTGACTGTCACACCAAAATGAACTTTCATTTATCTCTGTATTCTAATGGCAACCTATGAATAATATACTCTATTTCAGGCCAATTTAGCATAGTCAATTCCAGCAGTGCTGCTGGATCACTCGAAATGATCACCTGAAGGCGAGATGTTAAACATTAATTCACAACACAGAAGTACACACTCCATTTTTTTTTAAAACAGCTTGTCTTTTGAGACCTGTTAACTTCTGACCAATCGAAACACTAATACTTTGTGAAACTTTGAGAAAAACAAGGAGGCAACAATACCATTTTGTGACTTACACTGGTCACAGGAAAACTTGTTCTACACCATTTCATGAATACTAAACATAAACTCATTCTTCCTATGCCTTTGGGTTGCTCTGCACAACGGAGTCTAATCCAAACTGGGCCTTTTGGTGCTACCAATAAATAAACAAATAAATAATTGGGTGAATTTCTCTGATGGTAGCCAAATAGTCTGTCCTTTCAACCTATTCACAGCACTGTTTAGAAGCACCAGCCAAACACAACATATGTATGAATGAATTATCTTTTTTATCTGTCACATATCATATTCATGGCAGAACAAAATTGTGCTGTTCTGTTAAAAAGTATTTTTACAGGATGCTGTGGAAGACTTAGAGCCATTAGAATCTACATTGTTGTCAATTTGCTTAAAAAAATCCATTATGAATTGTACTTTCAGATGTAATACCAAATTTGTTACATCTTGACTTGAATTTTATTGTCTTATTTCAACAATTATTAATGTTTGCAACAAGACTGGCTTAAATGAGTGGTGTTGTGTGTGTAGTCCTAGGCCCTGTTTCACTGCAAAGTTATTACTTCACAGCTAGGCTTTTTATGTAATATGTTCTGTGAAAATTTGAGAGCCAAGTGGGGAAGCCTTAATTAAAATGAATAAATAAGTAACTCCTTCTATGGCATCCTCTGTTTTCAATGCATAGTTTCTATTAACTCAGGGCTCAATTAAGCAAACCAGGCTCTGTATGACTAAGTTGAGAAGCATTTATGTTATGACGTATCTTTAAAAAATATCAAATTTCCTGGTTATCTTTATGCTCTTGTTTGACTCATATACTAGAATTGGTAGAAATTTTTCAATGAATGAGTTAGGAGTTTGCTAAAAAACTGGAGAAGAGATGCTACAATGTTTCAAAAACATTCTTTTCCCTCCTTCCTCTAACTACAATACATTTTTATAGAAGATATATATAGAAATTTATGTAATAAAGCTATGTTTCTACTTCACGTTCCATTCCTGTGGCCAAAGACATGCACTTTACATGAACCTGTACTAATTCAGGCTCTGTACCTGCATTTTCCTCAAAGCAGGGATTTAGAAAGATACAGGATGCCAAGCCAGTGACAGCACTGCTCCTAGAAAAGCCAGATTGCTGAGATGGAAAGAAGAGGTGGGCTCAGGAGTCAATCTTCTCCAAGGTCTTCTTCCTATCTCTACATTACCCATGAAATTCCCAATGTCCTCACTTACAGAAGATACCAATGAAAATTCCAGAAACAAAGCTCCAGCTTTCTAACCTTGCATATCTCTGAAAAGAAGAAAGTATGACTGGACTACTGGACTTGCACTTTTCCAGAAGTGCACAAATTAAGAGGATTTTCTTCTTTGTACTTGAACAGAATATGTTTAATCTATTTCATATAGGTAAATATTAAGAATAGGACTATCAAAGCAAAGCTTGTCACATAACTAGATGATTAATTGAGTCTTGTGAGAAGTTCTGGATCAGATAGAATATGAGGCTTACGAAAATGCAACTGTTCAGACCAAGAGTACCCAAAAACGGAGGAAACAAGTTTTAGTCCTGTTACATGAAGCACAGGTTGGTTTTCCAGGAGGAGATTTTTCTTTACTTTGTAACCTGCCTTTGGGTTCATTAGGTTTATAGTTACCTTGGGAACAGGGATAGCAAAATAACCAGAAGATATTAGATTGGTATTTTATACAGCATTGTCCCCTACCATAAACATATAATTCATTCAGCTACAAAAAGTTTGTAAAAAATATTGGTTTATTAATTCTGTATCCTGTAACTTTTAAACCTTTCTTCAATATTCTTTCTCCTTTTTCCCTTACTTCGTATGTATTTTCACCAAATTGGAATGCATTGGAACCATGAAAAACTAAGAAAATTATGTAGAGGAACATTTTGAAATACATCACATTTAAATACTCTCAGATTTTTTTTTAAATCAAAGTCTCCAAATTTTCATTAGTTTTATATTAAATTTATTCTGTGTAGACTTCTAACTTAAAATTGCTACTTGTATAAAAAAACCATATAAATTGCTGGCCCTGAAGTACCTTTATAATTAATGAAAAGAAATAAGTACTTTTACAGTGTTTCACCTTCTCCTCCAGGAAGAGATGAGTTCTGCCCTAAATCACTTTTTTCCCACCATTCACTTGAAGGAGTCTAAATAATTTCATACATAAATATCTACAGTGAAGATGCCTACAGCTGGTTAACTGCATTGCAGCAATGAACTTATTTATTGCTAGCACAACATTCACAACTTGCTCATTACCACTTTGCTGTCTACCTTTACTTTTCATGCTGAAAATATTCAATTCTGTTTTACATTAACCAATATATACCAAAACCATACGCTAAAAATTCAACCAAAAATTTTTCTTTGGACACCTTCAGGATCTGGTGAATTCCTCAACAGCACATCCTTTTCCAGTCCATTCAGTAAAGCAAAATGAAGTAGAACATAACATAAACCGTAACCTTACCTGAGTGCTTGTAGAAGGTAATTCACATCACTGTATTAGAAATACATAGAAATGGTGTAAATTCTGAACGAGAAAGGATACATTCGTATGGCTCCTGTTCTTGTTCCAATTGCCAGAATTTTCTGAACTGGGTCAAAAGCTAAGGCAGTGGGTAGATAAGGGAAACCATGGCGAACCGTCTGAAACAGAAAAAATGAGCAAAGTGATTGAACTGTAACCACAGATAACAGCATGAGTGTTTTATGTGATGTGTACAGGAAGAGAATCTATATTTTTCTGTATGTTGTATAGAGAATACTTCAAGAGAAGTATTTAAAAAGATACAGTATTTTGAATACAGAAGTGAATTTTGCTCACTAGAAATTCTTGTTATGCTTTTTCCTCAGTAGTATTTAAAATGGTTTTGTTGCAACAAAGTAGATTGCAAAGTATAAATCACTGTACAACTGCCATATATTGCTTATGTGGTATACTGAAAGATAACCTCAATATGCAAGGCAGTTGAACTGTAAATTGAAAAAAAAGACACATAATATGCTCTCAAAACACTATCAGAAATAACCTCAGCCTCAACAGAACAGCTCCAGCAGAAAGAAATGGAACATGTCCAGGGGAAGAGATCCAATAAACCAATAAACTGAATTGAGTCTACACGGTAAAAATCCTTAATATCAATTTAGAAAACAAAGATGCCAGAGAAGATATTCTCAAAATGAGCAACTGAATCACTCATCCTTTCTTAATCTTTATTTATAATACTATGCTTTTAATTCTAATTTTTGAAGAGATACTTTGGGGAATAAATGAACTGAGCATGATGCAACACATCTTTGAAGACTGTCTCAATATTTTAAGTTATCTTAACCTGGAGGTTATGACTACTATGACTTGCCTGATTCTTATGAGGAAAAACCTAATGGGGGAGAACATTAACATAAGAATAAAATCGAAAATAACTAGACTAGACTATAAGAATACACATTAAAATGAATATTAATTAATTTTGTGTGTGTGACTGCTTACATAAAAATGGGTAAAAATTAGTATTTTTTTAGTATAATAATAATGTTTTATTTAGCATAATAAAACCTTGAACTCTAGGATTGAATCTTTTTTTAGTATGTGATTGAGATTGGAGAGGAAGTGCTTTGAACCGAATGAAATTTAACTTTTTGAGATATCTTCTTCTTCCTTGAAATTATCTCTTTCAAGAACTACGTCTGCTTAAGCATTCAGCAGTTCCCTATGGAACAGCTTCAACAAAAGGGACTCCTTAATTGCAGACCTGTTGAGTAAAAGGCAGCTGATGATTTCACAGCTGTATCACTCCAACTCTTCTACTGCAGCTGGAAACACTTGAACTGATATTCACAAGCAGTTTGGGAACAACCAAATGTATGTTTTTCAGCAAATAACCACTTCCTTAAAAGAGATCTTACTTGTCTCATATCTTAATTATTGCTGATAAGGGAGGTTGTTTAAAGAATGTCAAACTATTGGTTTCTAGACTGCAAAAAATCCAGAAGCATATGCTACTTTAGTAAGCTGTAGAAAAGTAACTTACGTTTTATATTAATGTAGGCATTTATCAGAGACCTCTACAACTCCATTTCTGGTTTGGTTTGTGGTTTGCTGTTGGGGTTTTTTTGTTTGGTTGGTTTTTTTGGTTTCTTTTTTAATCATCTCATCTTAAGTGTTAGGATTGTTCAAATATAAAGTTTTTATTCTGGCATCTAATCTGCTACTAGACTTACACACCACAAAAATGGTTTTACCTCTTATGTCACAAAATCATCAGGAATCATGAATTGTAGTATTTTCTAGAATGTTGAATATTTAGCCTAACTGCATTACTAATATGTTATTATATTTGCAAATTCTGTATTATGGTGAATAAGTGTTCTTCCTTTTCTGGAAAAAAAACCCCCATATATTTCACCAACTACTTTTGTTAATTACTAATTTTTAAAAATCCTCTCTATAATAAAGTTTGAATTTCTATCAGTTCTAGTCACAGTATGCTTTTCTGATGTTTAGCTATGACTGGAGCTTTCACTACTATTGCAAAGATCGATATTTTTAAAGACTTACTTGCATTCTTGCCTACATATTTAGTATTTCAGTATTTCTGCAATCTGTAATCAGACTTCCCATTTGGAAATTTTAATTGGGTCCTATATTTAAGATAGAACTACATTTTAGAAGAACAGCGATGTACATCTTTTCAGGATCATAGCTCAGTAAAAATTTTTGAACTCTAGGATTGTCGCAAATGTGTTATTTCTGTTTTGGAGCCATTTTCCAAATTTCAGTATTTAGACTAAGTCCAATTGGGAAGTTTTTGTGAATGCAATTCACAAAATTGTGAATTTAAAATTCTGCCATTTGTATAATATATATAAGAAAGTAACTATTGAAATCTATTGGGCATCCAAGTAAATTAAAATTTTTCAGTAAAATATTTATATTTATTAGGACTCTAAAAGGACAAAACCATTTTGGAAGTAGAGCCAAGCTATACAGTACATGGTTAGGGCAGAAAAAGATATCTCTGTGATTGAGGTTTTGGCACAAATTAGAGCAGCCTCAGAAATTATTCTGAACATCAATCTTATTCAACAAAAGAATAGGGAAAATCTGTAGCATTCCATACTCTCAGATTCTCATCCTCAGCTCTAGTCCAACAATCCTTCTGTTTCTGAGGACTGTGAGAAAAAATGACATGAAAATCTAGCACTTGGAGTAGACTTTTCAATTATGCATTGATACAGCTAATGTGAACACACGTGTAAGGATGAATAACAATTCCAAAACTGTGCCTGGGCCTCCTTACAGCATTTACTAATACAGATGAAGAGGAAGAGAAGGCCACAAAATTAACTTGATTTTAGGGTGACTAAAAAAAACAACGAAAAAACCCCTACGTTCCTACTTAATCTGAGTTGTATCTAGTGGGAACAACACAGAACAAATGTATTGGTGGTGCTCAGAAACACAAAACAAAGTGGATTTTTTCCCCCAAATTAAACTATCTCAACAGCAGGCAAAAGCAGAAAAACTACACTGAAAAAATCAGTCAGGGTTCAAAGAAATATAGGACCTAACTACCACAAATGCCAAGATGTCAAGAAAAAAAAAAAAAAAGAGGGAGAGAGAAAAAAAAACAGACACCAGATGGAGCCAGGACTGCTTTTCTCCACATTATCCATCTTCCTTTTATGCCTCCTTTTTTGGCATGCTGTCTCTAGAGGCAGTCTGTGCTCCCTAGGACATACAGTTTATGTGCTATATGCAAAATAAATTTTTGAAACAGAACAATTGCAAATGCAGATATATTTTCAGAATAAATCTTTGTTCAGCTTTGTTATTCTCTCTTAAATCCTCTTTTAAATAATTTTAAGCAGTGAATTGCATGTATCTGTCATTAAAGTAATCTTTACACAACCAATTTACCTAAATTAATATAGGAAATTGATTATTTGGGCTTGCTAGTAATCTACCAATGAACATTTCAACATCTTGTACAGAATACAACGATCCTTTTCTGTCTAAGATACCATGACATATTTTATTAGCTGAAAAAAAAAATTGCACTAATACTAATATGCAATATCCAGTGTAATTGTTCACATGGTGCATAATGCAATTTTTCAGTATAAGAGTTTTTCTTAATTTCTATCTGTGGTGGTTTATATCCGACTGCAAAGGCACCGTTTTTAAAAGTGATTATAATATTTTCTAAATAGTTCCAGAAAATATAGAACTAAACCAAATTTTAAACTGTATCAGCCAATTAATAGGGTTTATAGCCAAAAGTGTTGCTGCTAATTTGCACAAACCTAAAATTCATAATTTTTCTGCTAATATTTTATAGATACCCAGGTTTGCGTAACATCTGACAGCAAACATATTTACTTACGTAAATAATTTTTGAGAAGATGTCTATTTGTTGAAATTCAACTATGTACTCTAAACCTGTGACTCAGGATGTAGAGCCTGCTTCCAAACTGTGACCAATGTGCACATGCAGAAACCTCATTGAAGAAGTAATTGATTGGTTTACAAAACAGAGGATGAAGTGTTGACTGAAACCTCTCTAGCCTCTTATTCGGCTATAAAGGAAATTAAAAAATGTCAATGATTACAGCATTTTCACCACTACAGTACTATTTTTAGTACTGTGGTACTCAAAGGTTGTAGTGGTGAAAATGGGTGCCTTTCCAGAGGAGCTGCTATGTATTATACTGCTGTAAAACCATGACATCCCTCATTTATAGACCTCTGTGTTTGTTATCTCTGATTGGTAAAACTGACCCCTACTCATGAAAAATGGAAAGAGGACAAGATATCAGTAGGCTTCCAACCTAAGTAAACAATACAGGAGAGATACTTTTTTATTAGTTACATTTTCATTTTTCAAAGGAATACCTTTTGTAAAAATCAGAGCTTAGCTAAAACTTTCCAAACCCAAGCCATGAATTCCATCTAGCTCTCAACCTATATTAGGAACCAGGGGTTCTGAGCATGTTCAGAGAATATTTTAAAAAACTATCTTTTCTTAATTGTTCTTAGATAAAAGTACCCACAGATAACTCTTTTTCTTGGTGTAAAGCTAGAAACAGTCATCTGGAGAAAAGCCATTTACAAAAGGGAGCTGTAGACTGGGAAGGCTGATTGCTATCCCTGGCAAGATGGTAAAATAAAGACTAACAAGGCACACAGATAAAGATTGTTGCAGAAGTCAGCAGAGTTTCTTCAATGGGAAATCCTGTATGACTAGTTTTCTCTAATTCTATGAAGCTGTCAGCACGTATGTAAATAAAGGGGATATGAATATACATAAGCTTTACAAATGCCTTCCAATAACATTCCACAGCAACGTTATTAAAAAAGCAAAGGTGTCATGGGACTGAAGAAAAAGGTTTATTTGTGGACTGAAAGCTGGTTAGATAACAGAAAGCAAAGGATAGAGTTTTATGGGTTTTTACTCTGAAAAAAATTCACAAGTATAATTCTTCATGGATGAGTGCTTGGACCAATTTTATTTATTATTAGGATTACCTATAAAAGATAATGAACACTGAAATCTCCAAGTTCATAGCTCATAGTAAGATTCTTTAGATAGTGAAATTCATTACTGATGGTGACAAACTCCTGAAAGAGCTCACTAGTCTGACTA